GAACATCCTGCTGCAGGAACGAACTAAAAATGGAAAGATGGAATGAAATAGTAGCTACTGAGTTTGTATCTACATTTAGTGCAGATACTGGTACAGGTGTTTAAGGGATGTACAGTATGTTCATGACAAAGGATGAATAAATAGCTAATTTTGAATTTAAATTTAATTCTCAGCTTCCCCAAGAGAAGTAAAAGCTGAAGAGAAATCACCAGTGTCTGTGAATACCAAAACCATTAAAAAGGAGCCAGAGGAGAGGCAGCAAACCTCCAAGAGCCCTTACAATGGGTAGGTAAAACCTCTCCTGGTAAAGAGAATACTTGAGTAAAAATGCTTTCTTTAACTAAAGTACAGCGAGCCACTGCTGAGCTCCTTCAGTAGTGAGTAACAAGTGCCTCAGAAGTGCAAGCCTGGTTTGTTTTTGCCCCCCTTCCAGCTTGAGAAAAGAAAGCAAGAGAAGTCGAAGCAGCAGGAGCGGCAGCCGGTCCCGGTCGAGGACAAAGTCTCGGTCTCGCTCGCACACGCCGAGGCGGCAGTGAGTGGGGGCTCTGGGGAGGGCAGGAGGGCTTTGGCATGCTCAGTTCCATAAGGATCCCATCACAAATGGGAGCAGTCTGGGCACACAGTGCCCATGGAAGGGGTGAGAAGTGCCACAGGACCAGTTTAGACGTGTGGCAGCTTTGTGGTGTCAGTGCTCCCTGGTGCTCTGCTCAGCTCTTCAGGGCTCTGCCCCTCTCCTGTGGTGGGAAGAGGGGGATGCAGGGAGAGCTCCTGCCTTCATAAATATGTACTTTTGAAGAATCTTCAGGCTGATATCCAAGTTGGAAGCTGCCAACTTGGATGTCAATGAAGGGTTCCCCAAAGTATCCCTGTGAGATCACTGAGGGAAAAGGGCAATAAGCAGTTTGTGAGCTGGTGTTGAGGGGAGATTCTTGACAAGGTGGAAAAATCTCAAAAGGTGCTGCGTTCTGGGTTTGGTTTGGGCTGTTTATTTTCAAATGAGCTCAACTAAAAGAATCCCAGACTGGTTTGGGTTGGAAGGACCGTAAAGCCTATGCAGTCCAACCCCCTGCCATGGGCAGGGACACCTTCCACTAGCCCAGGCTGTACCTTGGGGATATCCACTGTCCTTCCTCATTTATCCCCGTGGGAAAAACAGCCTCTGACTTCTCCCAGTGCCTTGGCAGCCCCTTTGCTGTGGTTTGGTTGTTGTTTCCCGTGTGGAAGGCCCGTTCTAACTCCCCCTCTCCCGCAGCTACAACAACCGGCGCAGCCTGTCGGGCACCTACAGCTCGCGGTCGCGGAGCCGCTCGCGCAGCCACAGCGGGAGCCCCCGGCGGCACCACAACCACGGCTCCCCGCACCTCAAGGCCAAGCACGGCCGCGAGGAGCTCAAGGGCGCCAACAGACACGGCCACAAGCGGAAAAAATCCCGCTCCCGCTCCCAGAGCAAGTCCAGGGATCACTCGGACGCCAAGAAGCACCGGCACGAGCGGAGCCACCACCGGGAGCGGCGCGAGCGCTCCCGCTCCTTCGAGCGCTCCCACAAGGGGAAGCACCACGGCAGCGGCCGCTCGGGGCACGGGCGGCACCGGCGCTGAGCCCCCCGGGCACAGAACTGGGACTGCACAGCCCCTGCCAGGTTTGGAGGGACTTGGGCCCCGGGGCTCCTTTTCCAAGAGGGGCGGAAGACTTTTGTTTGTTTTTTGTTTTGGGACAGGAACTGTTACCAACTTTTTGCACATAATACCTTAGCAGTATCCAAGGGGTGGAAAACCATGATCAGGTTCGTTGTATGTATTAGAGCTGTGTATTGTTTATTGAGCTGAGAACTGGAGACAGGATTTCTGTATAAAAGCAAAACGTACCTTATTTTTATACCAGTCAATTGCAGACGCTTATATTTAAGTATAGTTATTTGTTTAAACAATGGTGGAGACTTTCTTACACTGGTTTTAGTCTGCATGTGTTAAAAGATTTTTACGAAAAATAAAATATAAAGCTTTTTTTTTTTTTTACTGCCTGTTGGATGCCAAATGTGTTGGAACTAAACTTACTTTTCTTACACACCCTGGCCTTGAGCGCTGTGCCTGAGTGGGACATGGTGGGTAAACTGGGAAAGCTCTAGATGTTTGTCCTTCCCAGGGAGGCCAGGCAGCAGTTGGAATAAATGACCATGGACCTCTCTGAAGTTCAGTGGGATGAGCCAGGGATGGGTGTCCTGCTCTGTCAGCTGCCCTGGGAGTTTGGGGTGTCCCTGTCCCTCTCAGCTCTGTGGGGCAGAGGGCAGGAGCTGCGTCAGCTGTTCCAAAGGCCTGGAGGGATCGGGTTTGGGGTTTTATTTCCCATCTTTCATTGCAGTGGCAGGATGCTGGCAGGGGAAGGAGGGATCCTCTTGCAGGTGAAGTGCTGACACAGCTTTCAGCTGAGCAGGGCCACCCCTGCAAGGGTCATGCTGACACAGCTTGGGAAGCTCAGACACATTCCCTGTGCTGCACTGAAAGCAGGAGCTGCTGGGAGCTCCTCACTGTGTCCAGCTACTGGAGCTGTGTCCTGGGGTGGGACAGCTCCAGTGCCAGGGAAAGGAGAGAGGGAAGGGGGGGTGAGGAGGAACTGGGTCTGATTCCTACAGCTGCTGCTCAGGTGGTACCAAGACCTGAAACCCACAGTGGTGAGGAGTTTGCTGTCCTTGCTGACCCAGAGTCCAGCATGGAAAGACCTTTTCCCTCCCTAAATGCCTCTCCACTTCCCTGCTGAGGGTGACCTGGCTGGAATGTCGAGCTGCAGAGCCCAGGTGGGGGCAGGTCTGGTCCCTGGGACTGTGGGAGCAGTGCTAGTCTGGATGTCCACACCCTGCAGGCCTCAAATAGGAGAGGGAAACCGGCTGAGCAGAACCTTCCTGAGCTGGAGCTTTCCTGCCCCGTGTCCTGCTGGGCCCCGGCTGCAGCTGCACCCTGGAAATGCAAAAGTGAACGTGTATTTTCGAAAGGGAGAAGAGAAAATGTCTTCTCTGTTTCTTGGTTACCACCGTGGGTTTTTAATCTGTAATAACTGTGTTTTGTGTGTGTTGCTTTCAGGAAAATACATTTGTTGCCATGGCAACGGGAGTAGCTTTTCCCCCAGATCCCAGTGCTCGGATAGTCAAGGGCAACAGTGGAATCCCAGGGCTGCAGGAGCAGCAGGATTGCCTGGAGCTCCCTTGGACTGGGGGTTTGGGTGTGGGGGTGACACTGGGGGCTCAGCTCTGTGTGTGTGAGCACTAACAACCCTCTGTGCTTCCAGTGCTGGGCAGAGATGGACCTGCAACGTGGAGCTGGAACAGCTGGAGATGAACAGCCACACACCATCTGCTCCCTGGCAGGCAACGAGAGGTTTGCTGTTCTCTCCATGGGGAAAAAACTCTCCAGCCAGTGGTGGATGAAGTGATGCATGGTGGCCTCAGCCACCCAAGAGCTCTGCCAGCCGTGGGCTCTGGGGTTGGTGGTTGCTGAGGTAAAAGCAGCAGGACTTTCCCAACGCCACGAGTTCCAGGTCAGAGCTGTCAGGAGGAGGAGCCCACTGTGGGTGAGCTGAGAGTCACTGCCTGGGCCCCTTGCTCGTGGGCTCTGTGGGGGGAGAACTCTGGCAGGGTGATGGTCCTGAGTGGCTGCAGCCCCATAATGCCCCTGTTCCTGGAGGACTTGTCAAGGCCCTGCTGGGCACGACAGCCAGAAATCTCACTGTGACAGTCGCTGTCTCTGCCGAGCCTTTGAAGGGCCGTCTGTGTTCCCTGAGCTCTACATCACTAAAATGAATCCCCTGAGAGGGCTGGCTGGCTTCAATCACACTGACCCCCAGCGTCCCTCGGGGCTGCACTCACCTCTCTCAGTGGCTGACAGGGATTTTTCTTTTAAGATTTGTTATTTTTAAATTCCTCGGTGTCTTCCACGTTCTTGGGTCACTAAGGGGAACCTCCAGCAGCACAAACACCTCTGACATCCAGAAGCCTCCAAGCAGCAGGAGGGCCTCACCACAGCTCCTGCCTGGAGCCCCCAGCTCTGCTTCCCTGCAGACCCAGGCAGGGGGAATAAACACTGATGGATGTGTTTGAGAAGTGAGACAGAGCTTCGAGTGCCCAGCACTGACCTTTGGTGTCCTCACTGCCCCGATTGTCACCTGCAGGGGCTTTGTCCTGCCCAGTGCAGCAGTGGAGTGTGCAGGTGAAGCACCAGGAATTATAATTTTGGTCCTTCCTGTCCATCTTCCCCAGGATTTTCACGGGTGGTGTCTCCTGGGCTGTCACAGCAGGCAGAGGTGGCTCAGGCTGAGCCTCAAGCCCAGATGGTCACGGGCAAATGTTGGCTGAGCACTGGCAGAGTGGAGCCCTCCTGGGAATGGCAGCTGGGGGAGGCAGGAATGGGAGCTGTGTCTCACCCTGAGGCACAGTCCCCTGGCTGGGATGGATCCAGGAAAACCAGCTCCAACAGCACCTGACTGGGAACCTCGAGCTGCCCGTGGGAGCTGCAATCCAGAGGGAAAGGGGAGCAGGATGGTGAGAGGGGCTTGGCAGGGGGGGTGGGGTGGGGACACCTGTGTGGCACTGAGTGTGGCACCCACTGTGGTGCCACGGGGACAGTTCCCTGGGAAAACCAGAGTATTCCTGCACTGCCTGACAGACTGATGGGAATCAGGTGCTGCCACTGAGCTCTGACAACCTGGGACCCACAGGGACAGGGGGACACGTCTGTCCCAGCTGAGCAGTTCTCCGGGGGCACAGGGGCTGGGGGGGTTGGCCTCACCCTCAGAGTTGCTTTTCCTCAGGGAAAAAGGTTTGTTACAATGTTTTGACTACATTGTCAACAAAGTGCTATTCCTGCACTGCCTGACAGACTGATGGGAATCAGGTGCTGCCACTGAGCTCTGACAACCTGGGACCCACAGGGACAGGGGGACACGTCTGTCCCAGCTGAGCAGTTCTCCGGGGGCACAGGGGCTGGGGGGGTTGGTCTCACCCTCAGAGTTGCTTTTCCTCAGGGAAAAAGGTTTGTTACAATGTTTTGACTAATTGTCAACAAAGTGCTGCAAATGTTTGAAGGGATTTACATTCAGACTGTTCTGTCCTTCCCTTTCAGCTTTGTCACAAGCCTTGGAAGGATGAATCTGGACCAGGAGCTTTGGATGGTTTGGGAAGGAAAAAAAAGAACAACATAAGGATATTCCTGATGGGAATTGGCCCAAGAGGTCCCTGTCAGGGCTTTGGCCACCCCCAAACCCCACAGGTGAGTGACAGCAGCCACAGCACACACTGATAAGGGTCCCTTTTCCAGGAAATCTTCCCCTGGTTGCTGCTCCTGCCAGGGAATGTTCATGAAATCCATCATTTCCCATCAGGCCATCCACAAACTGCCAAGCTCGTGGCTCTCCTGTCCGTGCTCCCCAGTGCTCCCTGCTCCAAAGCACAAGGTTGTTGCTTCCAGGCTCTTTGGGGCAGGAAACAAACCTATGGCTGTGGCAGAGCAGAGCTCTGGCAATCAGAAGGGAAAACACTCCTGCAAAGGCAACAGCTCTCCATCCCCACCTCCTGCCTGGGCACAGCCCAGCGGGGCAGCTCAAAACAAAACAAGGTAAAATTAGCAAAGCTGGCCTGAAAAAAAGTCCTTATATTGTAGTAGAGGGGGAAAATTGACAAAAGTTACCATTTTTGTCTTAGGGTAGAAAATCCCTTGTCATGGGTTTGCTGGAGAGGACAAGGGGCTCATGGACCCACCTCAAGCAGTCCCAACACCACTGGGGATCCCAGGGATGCTGTGCACCCCTCACTCCTGGGAATGCTGTGGACACCCATTCCCGGGAATGCTGGGCACCCCTCACTCCTGGGAATGCTGTGAACACCCATTCCCGGGAATGCTGGGCACCCCTCACTCCCGGGAATGCTGCACCCCTCACTCCCGGGAATGCTGTGAACACCCATTCCCGGGAATGCTGGGCACCCCTCACTCCCGGGAATGCTGCCGCTGCTCCCGCTGCCATTCAGGGTTCGTTCTGTAGGTGGAAGTGTTGCAGAGCCCAACTGAGCATTCCCAGCTGAGCATTCCCTGCTGAGCATTCCCGGGCTCTGGGAGCCCAGCACAGCAACCCCCAGGAGAGCCGGCAGGGAGGGGACAGGGTCCTGCCCCGGGGCAGCCCCATGCAGGGGGTCAGACACTCAGCTGCCACCCGAATTCCAGCTGTGGGGATGGATGGGAAGCCTCGAGGGGTGATGTCACCCACCAGCCATGTGAGATCCCCAGTGCTGACCAGTGACAGCCAGTGTAACACTCCCTGTGCTGGGCTGTGCCAGCTGGGGGGTTCAGCCTGAATTACCCTGCAAGGAGGGTTACAGTGGGGTCACTCAGCACAGCTGAGCTCCCCGAGGGCCTGGCACAAGTTTCCCAGGGAAGCTGTGGCTGCCTCATGCCAGGAAGTGTCCAAGGCCAGGTTGGACTGGGCTTGGAGCAACCTGGTCTGTGGAAGGTGTGGGGACAGGACCTGCCCCTCCTCCCTCCACCAGAACCGTGGAACAGCTCCCAAGGGCCGTGATTTCTGTCAAGGAAATCATTTCCCAGCAGCTACTGCAGAGAGAGCCCCAGGAAATACAACAGGGATTGACCAGAGCTGTTGGCCTGGTCCTGCTGTTCCCCCAGAGCTCTGATAGCCGAGAGGAAACAGCCGTGGGAAGGATAATAATTGAGTCTCCTGGGGCCTTACCAATGCTGCTGGGGAAGGGTTTCTGTGCCCCAGTGAAGTCCAGGTGAGTGGAGCAGGGCTTTTGATCCCACTGAGGCAGTTGCAGGTCCTGGGCAGCTCCTGGTGTGTGCCCTGTGCTGAGAAAGGAGCCCAGAGGGGAAATCAACAGCAAAAGGATCTTAAACCACATGAATCCACTGCAGGGCTCTCACCGGTTCAGACACATCCGTTCAGTGATTGGTGCATCTTCCCAAAATACCTTCCTGCCTGGGACCTGGTGTGGGGTAACCAGGAGCTGGCACCCGGGTGCCTGAGCTCCCAGGTTGGAGTGATTTGGGGCTGGGAAGCCGAGGCTTTGTTCAGAATCTAAAGGCTTTTCTATGCCACGACTTCTCTGAAAAACAAACACCCTCAGCATCTCGAGTCAGCTGGAGCTGGCTCAGAATTCCCCCCCATGCTGAGGAGACACCTGCTCTGGTGACACACCGTGGAAGGGGAGGGCTGGGGCTGTCGCTGCTGCTCCTTTGGCGGGAATAAATCACCTCCTCTCTGCACAGACAACATCCTCCCTCCCTCCCTCCTGCTCCCCCCGCGGTGTCTCTCGGCCGGGGCCCCGGGCCAGCATTCCCAGCGCACAGTGTTTGTATCCACACGATGTTCTGGACGAGCAGGACACGCAGGATGAGAGCACAGTAGTCGTTTGCCATCAAGGAAACCGCAAGCAACAAACAGAGATGTTATCTCTGACATCTGGTTCTGGTTTGGGGAGATCTGTCTGCCCGTGTTAATGGGATGGCTCGCGGCTGTTTTTGTTTTAGGACTTCTCGTGGGTTCCCTTGGCAACAGCGAAGCCAACACAGGGATAAGAGCCTGGGAACACAAAGGCAGCACTGACACCCTTCCCCTCAGCAGCCAAGGACGAGAGCTGGTGACAGTGACCTTGGGACAGGCCAGCTCGATGGGAAGGTGTCCCCAGCCAACCTTTCAACGCCCCAGGTAAGAGATTTTAAGAAGCTGTGCTGGGGGGTTCCTGGGATAACAGCCCCCCGAAGCACATCCAAGTGCCTCCAATTGAACCCTGCCATGGGTGCTGTGCCTCCCCTGGGAGCAGCACTGGGCACAGGATAAAACCCAGGGGTTTGCTGATTACAAGACCAAGATGTGTTACTTTAAACAAAATCCCCAAACCAGACCCTGGGCTTTGGGTGAGAGGTGCCAACCCCTGTCCTGTGCCATAGAATCCTTGAATCCCAGACTGGTTTGTGTTGGAAGAGTTAAAGATCATCCAGTCCCACTCCTGCCACGGGCAGGGACACCTTCCACTAGCCCAGGTTGCTCCAAGCCCCATCCAACCTGGCCTGGGACACTTCCAGGGCTGGGGCAGCCACAGCTTCTCTGGGTAACCTGTGTCCTGCTCTTGGGGTTATGGTGATCTTGGGGTTTAAGGTCCAGGAATCATTTTCCCTGGGTCGGGCACACCTGTGACTCCTCCTCATGGACTCTTTCCCTGGAGATGACTCCAGCAGGTTTGTAACATCCTTGCCTAAAAGGAGCCAGAGGAAAGGATTTCTATGAATGTCTCTGAGTATTAATTCATAGAAAATCCTGGTCTTGAGAACCAACTTTTATCCAGGGATCAGAAATCCAAGTTCTCCCCCAGTGCAGCTTGGAGCAGATGAATTAATGCCTCGTTCAGCTCCAGTTACAGCTTCCAACCCCCTCCAGGGAGGTGCTGGTGTTATATTTAGAAGGAATCTACAAAAACAACCCCCAAAAAAGACATCAGCGAACAGAAGGAAGTTGGCAACAACCTCTGAGGCAAAGCTGCTACTTGGTTGCCCCTGTCTGGCCCTTCCCGGGCAGTCTCAGCTGTTCCCGATGAGCCATTTCTGGGTCCTTTTCCCCCAAAGGCACACGTGGTTCTTTGCTGGGAACTTGCCGGTGATTGAAGTGACCCCTCGCTCCTGGTAACTCCAAACAAACACTGCGGCTCGTGCGGCGCTGCCCGTGCTCAGGAAGCAGCTGGAGGGATGGAGGGACGAGGCTGGGATGGATTCCCATAAAAGCCAGTGAGTCACGGGAACACGTCCAGGAGCGGGGTCAGCGCCAGTTCCCGGGGAGGTTCCTCAGACATCTCCCCCTGCAGCTCCATCCCTGGATGGGGAAGAGCAGCTGGAACCCAAACACAGCCCGAGGGGCCTCACCCCACCTTCTGCTGCCAAGGAAGAGCTGCTCATCCATGGGCATGGGAAAAGGGGAGTAAAGGCAGAGCAGCACACGGGTTACGGGGCCTGGAGGGACAGGACACAGGGAATGGCTTCCCACTGCCAGAGGGCAGGGTCAGGTGGGATATTGGGAAGGAATTCCTGGCTGGGAGGGAGGTGAGGCCCTGGCACAGGTTGCCCAGAGAAGCTGTGGCTGCCCCATCCCTGGGAGTGTCCAAGGGCAGGTTGGATGGGGCTTGGAGCAACCTGGATAGGGGAAGGTGTCCCTGCCTGTGGAATGAGATGAGCTTTAAGGTCCCTCCCACCCAAACCAGTCTGTGACTGCAATTCTGTGAATTTCAAAATACATTAAATGTGTTTTGGGAATAGGAGGATCCCCAAAAGAAACCATTCCCTGTAAATTTCTGGGTTTGAGGAAGCAGCAAGCCCAGGTTTTAGAGGCAAAAAGGACTCATTGTTCTGACAGTTGGAAATCAACTGATTTTTAGAAGATATAAAAATGTGCTCAGGGCTTATTGTGAGCTGGGAGCAGCTCACAGGGCAGTGCCAGATGCTCCTTTTTCCACCACACAAATTTTATTTCTGGTGTCAAAATCTCTTCAACATTAATCTCTGGCAGGGCCCTTTTCATTATCCCATCCCAATTCATTTGTGCTCTGCTGGGAGGATGAAAGCCCCACATTAGTGCTCAGTCTATTAATTTATAGTTTTCTCCCTGTTACAGCTGCTTTTGGAGTTTATTCTTCCTCCAGCAGGACACACTGAACCACCTGTAACCAGCAAAGATGAAATCCAACGGATTTCCATGATGTAAATAAGCCCCCATTTAAAAAAAATAAAATTAAAGGGGGGGTGTCTCAGAAATTACCCCAATTTCATTCTTCTGCTCTTTTTTTCAGTATTAAAAACACACAGTGCAAAGGAAGTGAGTCTGTCTTTTATTTTGGTTAATATATTTTAATGATATGTGGCATCAACTGGCTCCAGTTTCTATTTCATGCACTTTTGATGCTGCTGAGAAAAATTAAGATGCTTTTTTCCTGCAGTCTAATTTCTTCTTTTGTGGAAAAACTCCACCTGCAAGGCACAGGCTGGATCCCAGATCCTACAACACCTCAGAGCAAGGGCTCTTCGTCATCTTTAATCCACGAGGCACATCAGCACTTTGGTTTGTGATTTCCCAGTGGGAATGAAAGCTGGACACACATGGGAAGCACATCTATGGTAAGTGATAATCTAATTTCCTATTGAAGGAGCAGCAGGACCAGCCATGGGCTGGACTCTTTCTGTGGAGAACATTAAATTCTGGGCAACTTTCAGCGGAAAACTTTCCCCCATGAGGCCCTGACTGACTGCTTGAAATCCCACTGCTCCCTCTTGTCCTGGCACTTGTTATCTGGGAGAAGAGACTGATCCCACCCAGCTCCACCCTCCTGGGAGCTTTAATAGGGATGGGTTTGGCCCCAAGAGAGGTTTGGCCAAGCCATGGGTGAGGTTTGGTGCCACACAGAGCCCCAGACCAGCACCACCGACCCTGCCCAGAGGAACCAGGCCTGGCACGGTGGGATGAACCCTTCAGGGAAAGGTTTAGGGCTGGAGGAACTGCTGTTCCACATCAGGCAACAGCACCAGCTCTGACAGGGGCAGAGAGAAGCCTGTCCATCAGGGAAGGACACGACACCCTGGTGCCATGGGATGTTTTCTCCAAGGGAAGGGCTGGAATGCTGCCACGGCCCCGGGGGCAGATCTGTTCCAAGCCTGGAGATTTGTTTAGTGCTCCCTCATGCCAGGAGTCCTGGAGTGCAAGGTCTCTGACACCACTCCTGCGAGAAATATTCCCTGCAGGAAGTTCGATTTCCTAAAAATCCAGTGCTGTGATGAGGTGTCCACATGCTCAGGGCACTTTGTGCTGCTGCCTTTAACCCGGGACAAAACCAGCCTGTAACCTCTCCCTGACATGGAGACATTCATGGAGCTGGTTTTACAGGCCAGTCCAAGAGCTTTCCTGACATTTTTGTATTTTGCTCATTGCTGAGCAGCAGGAGCTCTGGCTTCCTGGGAGGGAGGGGGAGAAAGGAAACATTTGTTCTCCACTTGGTTTGGATCCAGGGTTCAGACCTTCCCTCATGTTCCAAACATTGTCCTGTGTCTCTCTCCTCACTTTCCGTGCTGATCCTCTCTGGCCACACAGACTTTACTATGGCTGCTGCCACAGGACAGAAACAGGGAGCTGGTGGATGAGAGCCTGGATTTTAAATCATGGAATCACAGACTGGCTTGGGCTGGAAGGAGCTTAGAGCTCATCTCATTCCACCCCCTGCCATGGGCAGGGACACCTTCCACTAGCCCAGGCTGCTCCAACCCCCATCCAAACTCGGATTCTATGAGGATTGGCCATCATTCCCTGCCCTTTGGCAGGGGGTTGGAACTGGATGAGCTTTAAGGTCTCTTCCAACCCAGACCTCCTGGGATTCCATGGTTTTAATTCCACCTCTGAAGATGTGCCCCTCTTGGAGAGACTCTTCTGTTACTTTTCTCCTCTTGGAAGGTAAACAGCATTTCATTACACGATTAATAAACCCGTGGACAAACCAACGTTATTGCAACAAAAATAAATAAAAATTTAACTGAATTTCAGGTTGTAGAAATGGATGGATTGCACTGGCAAGGATTTGCCCCCGGTGTCCGTAAGCCAAGGGTCCTTTGAAGGCCTGGGTCGTTTCCCAGGCTGTGGAGGTGTCATAGCTGGCTGGGCCGGCGGGTTATCCCGGGAATGCTCCTGCTCCTGGGCTCGGGGAGCGAGGCCGCCCTTCCCCGGGGGGCGTGGGGGGGGCTGGGCCCCGCCGATCCCGGGCTGTGCCGGCCGGCAGCGGCTCCCTTGGCGGCTCTGGGCATTCCCAGGGCTCCGGAGAGCCGCAGTTCCCTGCCGGGAGCGGGGCCGGCCCGGGAGCGGGGCCAGGGCGGCCCCGGGAAGGTCCCGCTGAGCCTCCGCAGCTCCAGCACCTGCTCGCGGGCCCTGCTGAGCGCGGCCGTGAGCCCGCAGCGCTCCTCGCACTCCCGGCGCACCGTCTCCTGGAGCAGGGAATTCTGCAACACAAACACACGCTTGGCACCCGCTCGGGGGGTGTGGAACACGCCCCGCTCCCCTCCTGCCCTCCCGGGGCACTCCCGGGACACGGCAGCGCTTCCAGCCCGGCCGCTCCATCTGAGGGAAGTGCTCAGGAGCCATCCCGGCTCTGCTGCCCGGCTGGGAGCTGGGAATGCTGCTCCCGGGAAGGTTCAGTGCCACTGTACCACCTCCCTCTGACCCTTTCCTACATAACCCTCCTTCTGGAAGGGCACGAGCTGTGTGGAATCATGGAAAGGCCATCGAGTCCAACCACTCTGCCAAGGCCACCCCTGATCCGTGTCCCCATCCCAGGTCAGGGCAGGACTGACAGACCCACTGCCAACATCCCTCCAATTCACCCACACTGTTCCTGAACCTTTTCCAAGGAAGACATAAATACCAACCCCGGCCCTAATTCATTTTGAAGAGTTTAATTTTCGCTGTTTCCCAATTTTTTTCTGCCACTGAATTGCTTTGGACATTCCAGCCTAATCTTATCTGCAGTCCCTGACTGCACATTTCTCATGGAGCAGCCCAGCTCTCTCCTCCCTTCCCATTCTATTCCAAGCATTCAGCAAATGCTTGAGGTCAGAATATCCATCACTCCAGCTCCTCTTTGCAGTGGAGTCATTTCCATGCATTCCTGTGTCAGGGAACTGTGGCTGGGCTGGGGGGAGCTGGGACACAGTTCAAAGAGTGGAAAGTGAGAAATGTCCATGACTTCCACTCCAAAAACATGGGGAATTCTTTGCTGTTCACTCATGTTTGTGTAGCATAACTGAGGCTACAGGCTGAGAAAGAAATGTCCTGCAGGACTTGAAAAATATAATATTGTTCAATAAAACACAATAAACCCCCAGTTTAAGTGTTTGCTGAATTAAACCTTCCTGTATTTAGTAATCTACTGTATTTATGAAATTATCATAGTCTTGCTCTAGGAATCTTTGCATTTCAATGGGGTTTCTGGTCTGAAAAACAGATACTTTGAATGATGTTAGAAATCACGTCTCCAAGTAAAAATAGCCAGGCATTTCCTGGGTCATGTTCCTACCTCCTCCTGGACTTGACTCAAGCTGTGAATCAGCTGTGTCCTCTCCTGGGTTAATTTTTCCAGTTCATCTGACTTGTGCTTCATTTCTTTCCTCAGTTTATCCAGAAATGATTCATTGTTGTTCTTTTCCATCGTCAGCTGAAATTCAAGTTCACTGATCAGTCTTTTAAGGCTCTGAATTTCTTTCTCCTTGTCTCCATCTTTCTCTGCAAGTTTCATCTGGGCATCCTGGAGCTTCTTCTCAAGGATTTCTGCCTCCATCCTTAAGCTCTTGGTGGCACTGGATATTAAACCTGGTATCTGCACGAGATCAGACAAAAACTGCATCATCTACAGTCAGTATTTTTGTACAGAGAGAATTAATATCAGACAAATGTTGACTTGAGGAAAAAAACCCAACAAATTCAAACACACATGTCCTCAGAGAGAAAAAAATGCTTTGAATTTACAGAATGCCCTCAGAGGGTGGCAGAGAGCTGTAATTAATCAACACTCAGAACAGAGAGATTAATTAGTATGTTCAAGACCAAACAGAGAAATCGAGGTAAAAATGGGAAAATTTCAAGTCAGTGTTTCTTCGGGGTCTTAAAATCACAACCAAATATTTGTCAAGTGAACAAAGGCAAAGTGTTCTTTTCATCTCTAAAGCACCGTGCAATGTCATAACTTTTAAATAACGGTGTAATTTCATCAAATTCCTTTTTCCTCAGATTTCTCGAGAATTGTGCCAAATCCTTTGAGAAGGTTATAGGTAAAATTGTTCAATTTCTACATAAAACTCAAGAATCTGGAGCTCTGGGGAGCTGGGAACGGCCAACCCCACCTGGTGCCACCTCCAGCAGAGCCCAGAAGGTGGGAACTGGTCCTTTGGGAAGAGGAAAAACCATGTGGATGGGTTTGTGGGAACTCATCATAGTCTGAAACAGTCCCAAGGTTTTGCAAAATGCATGATGTCAGAGAGATTAATTAGAAAATTGAAGTTCAAGGGACCAGAATGCAGAGAAGAGAAAATCGACAACATGGGAAAATCAAGTCAGTGTTTCTTCGGGGTCTTAAAATCACAACCAAATATTTGTCAAGTGAACAAAGGCAAAGTGTTCTTTTCATCTCTAAAGCACCGTGCAATGTCATAACTTTTAAATAACGGTGTAATTTCATCAAATTCCTTTTTCCTCAGATTTCTCGAGAATTGTGCCAAATCCTTTGAGAAGGTTATAGGTAAAATTGTTCAATTTCTACATAAAACTCAAGAATCTGGAGCTCTGGGGAGCTGGGAACGGCCAACCCCACCTGGTGCCACCTCCAGCAGAGCCCAGAAGGTGGGAACTGGTCCTTTGGGAAGAGGAAAAACCATGTGGATGGGTTTGTGGGAACTCATCATAGTCTGAAACAGTCCCAAGGTTTTGCAAAATGATGATGTCAGATTGAAAATTGAAGTCCAGGGACACAGATGGGAAGAGAAAATATGACAACAAAGAACTTCCACACCATTTCACTTGAACTGGAATAGTTATTTTTTGCCTGTTCCATTAAAAAAATAAATTAAATACAGGTCCTATATTAAGACTGGGGAAAAACACTGTATCATCTAGACAGAGGATGACACATAAAGGGGGTTTTATTCCTTCCCATTCTGGTTTTCAACAGTTTTATCTGATCTGCTGCCACGGGAGTTTTCTCCTGAGCATTCCACACCTTCTTCTGCAGCTCCTCGTGGTCTCGCTGGTACTTTGTGATCAGCTCCTGCTGTTTCTGCCTCTCCAGGTCCAGTTCCACCCTGGCCTCCTCCTTGACTTTTAGAATTGCCTCTTTCTGCCGAGCCTCTCCTTTGGCCAGATCCATTTCCAGCTGGGGAACAAGAGGGTTTCAGTCACACAGAGCAGCCCAACTTCTAATATATTCCCTTTCCAACAGGGCCTTAAGGGAAGTGATGGGGAATTTGGCAGCCTGAGATTCTGGGCACTGAACAAACACTTCCGACCCACTGGAGCCCGGCCAGGGAACGCTCCTGCTCCAGAGCTCACAGAGTCACAGCCCAGGAGTCTCCAGCGGCTCTGGATCCCTAAATTTAGGCAGCTGGACTTCACACTAAATCACTATGAACACACTGAATTACAAAACCCTTGGCTGGGTCCTGAGCCAGATGATCCTGCTGGAAGGGTTTGCTCTGGAGGTGAAACTCTGTCGGCACCAGTTCCAAAGGCAGCAAAATGACACAGCCACAAAGTCACGGAATGGGTTGGGTCAGGAGGGACTTTAAAGCTTGGAAATACCAGAAATCCAGGGAAAGGAGCATCAGAGGAACCTCCCCATATAAATATATATATTTTTTAATTTCCTGTGTTCAGTTTGGGGTTTTTTGGTGCTCGTGGCAGAAGTTGCAGAGGAGAACACAGTTGACACAGTGGCAGTTGTTTATGGTAAACAGCTTCCCAAATCCCACTGGAGGAGACTGGCAGGAAAACTCCTTGTACAAAGGATATTGTTGACAAGTTGTGGCTGCCCCTGGATCCCTGGAAGTGTCCAAGGCCAGGCTGGACAGGGCTTGGAGCAACCTGGGCTAGTGGAAAGTGTCCCTGCCCATGGCAGGGGGTGGAACTGGATGGGCTTTAAGGTCCCTCCAACCCAAACCAGTCCATGATTTTATGATTCTATGAACTTCAAAATACATTAAATGTGGTTTAGGAAATAGGAGGTTCCCCAAAACAAATTTCCTGTAAATTTATGGGTCTGAGGAACCAGCAAACCCAGAGTTCATGGGCAACAAAGACTCGTGTGTTCCTGACAGAAATCAACTGATTTTTGGCTGAGTCCCTTCCAACCCAGACCATTGCATGATTCCAGGATTTCAGGACACCTGGCACTTGAGGAGATCAGTCCCTGCCTCACTGTGCTCACTGTGACCACTGTGACAACAGAAAATACCCCAAATAAAGCAGGAGGCAGAGGGTGCCAGGGGCCCATCCAGGGTTACCTTCTCCCTCCAGGTCTCCTCACTCCTCATCTTCTGCCTCAGCGCTTCCTGCAGCTGCTCCGTCCTGGTCTGGTGGGAAACCACCATCAGCTCCCTGGAAACCACAACAACGGGATGTGAGGACGAGCTCCACCCACAGGGGTGCAATTCCTCTCCCTTTTGTCCAGCACTCTGTGCAATAACCCCCAGGAATCCTGCCTGGAGGCACAGCAGGATCACTCCTCAGCATTCCCACAGTGCCACCACTCGCTCCATCAATTCCATGTTTCACAGAAAATGCTGCAGCTCATCTTCCTTCCACCTCAAACGACATCTTAATATTTCTTCAATATTTCTCAAGTCAAATTTTGAAGAACACAGAAAAACTTACACTATTCAAACCAGAAATAGCACTTAGTGAACTCAGAACAACTGCTATCATTGATTAAAAAATTGTGGGGTGTTTGGAATTAAAACCACTGAGTGCTTTCTGCTGTTAAGTTACTGTTTGTTATGTGATGCCTTGTAAAGCAAAACTCCTGGAGAGCTTAAATTCTTGTAATTTATGTAATTAGCAACTTGTACACCATAAAATGCCATAACTATTCCAATACTCCAGGCCCTTGGATATGATCTGGTACTTGGTTAAGTGTAAGGGGAACTTCCCACCAGTTCAGCCTGATTTTGAAGGT